TTAAGGTGTTCTGTGCATTATCCTTCCTGCTTACAAGCTATACATATGAATAACTCTGCTTAAGGTGTTCTGTGCATTATCCTTCCTGCTTACAAGCTATACATATGAATAACTCTGCTTAAAAAATTACCAGGACACGTGTTCCTAAAATCAGTATAATAAAATTATTTTTAAGTGCTTGTTGAATGTTTATGACCATACTTAGCATGATATAAGTTAAGTTTCTGTATTTAACACCCACCTTCTGACTAAATGTGATATGTAGATCTGTTTTTTCTATTTTTTCTACTTCTGCTGGTTTCTCATCCACACAACTTGATATGCCATTAGATCCACTGGTATGATGTCTTGCAGAAACAAAATCCTCTTCTGTCTGTTCAACACTTTCAATAATATCACAATGAACACTGTTTATATCTTGGTGTTGTTGGGTGTTTCTAGTTGGTGTTAGAGGATCAACACCTGGACCATGAGCACTAGCTTGAATTGTTGTGTCAACACTTTGTAACAATGACTTTGACTTGTGAATTAGCTGTTCAAGCACATTATCATTACTACTTCTCTGCAAGTTACAGAGCTCACTGGAGTTTTGTAAAGTATCTTGTGATGAGCTATCATGCACCGAACGTTCCCGGACAGACGAGTTTTCATAGATTAGAGCAATATCTTCAGGTGGAACATCGTCATCCGTCTCATCTCCAACGTCACTTACAATCAAGTTACATTTTGCAAGGCTAACACGTGGTGCTGACGAAGCTGCATACTTAGTGAAGAGAGCAACATAACTAGGAGGACACTCTGGTGAAGCCTGAAGGTCGGCATCATCAGAAGACCCAGATTTGGTAGCAACTGCAGGAGTTGAGCACTCCACTTCCAGAACGTTAGCCAGTTTTCGTCCAGAGTAGACATTCTCCACCAAACTTTTACAGGCAGATGAATGCTTCAGTTCCTCATCTCCAGTGAAATCTCTGTCTACACAATCAAAGCATGGAGACAAGGGACTTCTCTGTATGTAAGAACAGATGTAATCCCACAAGCTTCCCCCAGTAGCATACTGAAGCACAAGAAACAAGGCATAGTCTGTCTCATAAACTTTGTACAGTTCCACCATGTATGGGACTTCCTGGGGCACAATGTTAGGGAATTGACTAGCAGTAGGGGTAGGGCTCTTATATAAGGTCTGGATAAAAAAAAGTATATTCAAAAGAAAACATTTCCTTAGCTACAATTTAGAAAAATAGAAAAAAAAAGTCTAATATTTTCTTTGTCAAAAAAACACTTAAAACCAACATAGAATTTCACCACTTTTTGTAAAACATTTTGGAACATATAAAGATATATAATATTAGAAATTATGGACACGTACCAACGTATCTACACATTCCAAACTTACCTTTATCACATACGTTGAGTTGTTTGTTGTGTCAAGAACTAGAAGTACTTTCCTTATGGCTCCGAGCACTTTATATTTACTAAGTTCATGGAATGGAGCCCTCAAGGAGTTTATGGTGGTGTTGAGGACAGTTGCAGGTGAGAGTCGACTGTCCACCTAACAAGAGATAATAAGAGCAGGATCAGAAAGTATTCAGACATGCATCATTACAATACCAAATGTGTAGACTTTCCTACTGAACTAAGTAATGATGCTGTCACATACACGGAAATCAAACTTACTGTTGGAAATCTTTGATGCTGTGAACAATTTTCATAATAAGATCTGAAGATGCAGCAATAACAATGAAGTTATACTTTCCCAATGCATGAACTGTTTCCATGATAACTATTAACTTTTAAGCCAAACAACATAAGTATCATAATCAATGTTTCAAAACAGTTTACATGTTTACTTTTCTTTTAGAAAATGACATTCCTATAAAGGGAGTGTTAAGTAATCAGCTGTTGCTATCGCTTCAAGTGTGTGTCTAGCACGTGTCTTCAGTGATTCAGCCATGTCCTTATCACAATCTTTGTGTAGATGATTCTGAGAAGTACAAAGTAGTAATAATACACCTAATATTACATAACAGAGAGACTGAAACAATTTAAATAACATCATTCTCTACTGACTCGCATGGCTTTTTGCTTCAATATCTGAACTCATCGTTTATAGCTGAAATGCTGATATTTACTCCTCCTACAGGGTGAGTAAATAATGGTGTAACTTAGATTATTAAGAGTCAACAACTGTGATGCATTATTACTCCTTGAATGTGTTGATTTGCCAACTAATACATTCTGCAATATAGGTGTAATTTTATACTGATGTAAGTGCAATACAGTAAATTAATGTTTTTGACTGTACAGAAGCCAGTCAAACTCCAGAATATTACAAATATATGATTCAGTATTCTAATGTATGATTCTTGGAATCACCTGTTTTTACAAAATTAATAAATCATTAATTTCAATTCATGTGTTACTAAGTGATGATATTAAACTTACCTAGCTCGACCAATACAATGGACAAGGTGAATGGTGGTTACAAAGTCAACAGTGGTTAGTCACAAAGTAAGTTAACATTTTCCTAAATTGAAAATGTATTTCTAATAATACCTCCGCCAGGGTTTCAATCTTTTCCCATCTAAGCATTGGTCTGATTTTTTCTCACTTGCTCCAGTCTTTTAAACCCCACTTATTTGCCCTTGGCAACATTTGTCTTGTGATACTCTCCATCTACTTCAATGTGTTCTCTATTCTGGTTCTGTATATAAGCACCTCATTCGGATAGTTTTATCACTTTTTCCAGACTTACACCATCCCAGTCACTAACACTGGCTCTAAGTGAGGAGGAAGGATGGGAAAGTGTCAGTGGAGGTAAGTATTATTGAAAATACATTTTCAATTTAGGAAAATGTTAACTTCCAAAACATACTTACCTCCACTGCCTCTTACAGCTCTGATCCCACATTGAGAAGGTGAAGGGACTGGTGAGGGCATTACCCATTCAGAAAGCATCTGCATAGATCAGGGGTGCACCATGATAAGAGTGGTACCCAAGTGGGGGAACCGCACTACATCCAGAACAGGAATGCTCTTCACCCTGAACTTAGTTCCTGTATCAAGGGTGGCTAGGGCAATTGGACTGCAAAGTTACATATATATTCTACTGATTGAATCCCAACCAGTAGCCATAGAGTGATGCATTCTGAGCCACCTGAATCATGACAAGAAAGTAAGCAACAATGAAGTGGACGAACCTTCTCTTCCACCTGAAGAAGCCCGAAAGGCAACACCCCAAGATCGGAATGATGGGATTGTGTATACCTTACTCAACCAAAGGAACAGAACTCATCTGGTCTGAAATTATTAACATGCATCCTCAGTCCCCAAAAGTGGGCTCAGAGCCTTCCACATGGAACACAGTGCTCAGCCAAGGAACCAGGATGGGACCACACCACAATAGGAATTATGAGGAGATAGTGGACCTCCTTCCATGAACAATATACTAAACTGATATTGATCAAAAAGACGGGCCAAGCACACCCCAACCAGATAGCCAAGCATCAACTCTGAACCAGTATTATGAGTAGGCTCACATGTAGGCTGGTGCTGCTCCTACCAACATCTGGGAAACTATCTAGGGACCTGGGTAGGAGGACCCCCAACTTCACCCCCTTCTCCAGGAATGGAGTAAATCACTCAAACAATCTGGAGGAAAAGCCTCTATCCACTACCCCAGTGAATGAAAACTGGGTTTGGTAAGAACTCTCTAACTCCACTAGTAGAATCTGGGGGGGGATATGCATTGGGGAATCCTGATGAACAGTACTCTGGAAACAGTGCAATAGGTGAACAAAGTTCCCTAAATTTTTGAAAGCAAACCGACCTCATTTTATTCAATCTTATGATCAGCAGGGAAGGGCAGGATCTCCTTTAGCTTTTCTCATGATAGTCCATTAGTGGTCGTCCAGCAAAAAAGTGTAATACCATCTGGTGTGCTTCTAGATGGTCTTATGCAATGCCTCTTTCCTACAGTCTGTTTCAACCGGTGGTAAGTATAGTTAAGTTGGCTGCTAGTGCAGAATTGGATAGATAAAAGCACATCTGTCTGAGCAACACTCGCCACAGAGTGGGATCCAGTAAAAAAAAAGGAGGTAAGGGACCCTGAAAAGTAAAGATACAAGAGGAGAATAAAAGAATACTCACCCCTCCTTATAATCTAGCAGATGTGGTCAAAACAGCCACAGGGGTTAGACAAAAACCCTCAGAAGAAGAAGAAACTGCAAGATCGTATAAATAATGTGAGAGAAAAGTACTGGAAGAAGTCCACATACCAACTTACACAATGTCCTACAGTGAGCATTTCAATCGGACAGCTAAATCCATAGAAATGTGACAAATCTGATGAGATGCGACTCGCAGAAGTTTGCTTGCCTGTAAAGAAAGTCCAGAATAAGCAATAAGGATCAATTTGCAAAATCACCTCGACAATGTAATCAGGGATAAATCTCAGGAACTGAAGGAATAATTGAATAAAATGAATAAAAGTCAATTTCTAGCACCTCAAAAGGAGTTAGTGCAAGCCACATAACACCTCTGGGCTCTAACAGGACATAACAAACGATCTGGTTCCGATCGGTTGTAGAGGTGAGAAATAGCTGGCAAATGAATTGGTGAGAAGGATTTATCCCCTTCCCTGGCTGCCTGAGTCTTAGGAAGAAAAGACCTATCAGGGTATAGCAGGACATAAGTGGAGAGGTAGAGAGTCCTGTGCACATGTAGTGCAAACAACTCCTACCTAGATGTCCACTTGCCAGCAGCAACAAAAAGTACTCTTTAGGTTAAAGGTAATACATGGTACATGAAGCTAAAGGCTCGAATGGATGTTGAGACAAAACATGCAATGCCACCTTAATATCCCAGTTTGATAATGAAAAAGGCCATTTGGGATGAAGGACTCTAATACAATTTGAGAAGGCCAGATAGCACTGGGGATTCAAATACTTTCCAATGTTTAGAATATAAAAAAGTAGTCGATAAAGCTGCTTTATATAGACGAAGCTAGACTTCTGTAAAAACGAAAGTCAAAAAACGAGATATGGTGGGAACATTTGGGCAAAGTGGGTTCAATTTCCTCGTGAGACACCATTGGTGATAAGTGTGCCATTTCCATTGATAAATGGCCATTGTGGGTCTGCAGATAGATTAAGATAAATACAAGGCAACTTTAGAAGTTAAACCTCAATGCCATGTGAAAGACTGCCTAACTTCCATGCATGAAGTTTGAGCTTGGGAATGTCTGGGTGTTGGATCAGGGTTGCCTTAACAGAGATGGTCAAAGAGGAAGTGGCAGAGATGGAAACTCTTGAAGATACTGCAGAAGAGGAAGCCATGGTTGGGCTGTCCTATCTGGGGCTACCAACAGTACTAAATAAGTAGTGGATCAAATCATAGTCAGAACTCTGGGTAACATACGAATTAGGGGAAAGGCATCCAATATTGACTGAATGCAACTATCACCAAAGCCCGAGGATGAGGTACTGGGAGACCAAAACTCCTGCAGTTGAGAGTTCCAAGGAGTGGCAAATGCATCAATCATCAGAGTCCCAAACTGAGAGCAAATCCGCCGGAAAACCTCGCAATGGAGCATCCAATCGGTCGAGCTGGGACAAGTGATTTGCTATTAAATTCATCACCGCTGGTATATGGATAACCAGGATGCTGATATGATGGGAGTGAGCCCAGTAGAGAATATCCAAAGTTCAAAAACAAAGGTCCTGAGATCACATGCCCTCTTGATGGGAAATATCAGAGACCACTGTGGAATTGTTGGAATGAATCATGACAATTTTCCACTTCAATAGACTGAGACCTTGAACCATTGCTCGTTCGACAGCAAGAAGTTTTAAAATATTGATTTGGAAAGAAGATTCGTTTTCCATCCATAGACCCTGGAATTCCTGACCATTGATATATGTACCTCATCCCTGAAGTGAGGCATCTCTTTGAAGAGATAAATCTTAGGATGAGGGGATGGTATATGAATACTGATGGTTTTGCTAGTCCGATCCAACCACTACTTGAGATCTAAGATGTTGCTCCTGATTAAGGAGACTCAATAATCCAGTGGATTGCAGTTCATGATCCATTGGTCTCGCAGCAACCACTGAAGGGACCACATGTGAGCTTGTCCCAAAGCAGTCAGAGATTCAAGGGATGCCCACATCCCCAAAGGAGAGAGGACCATCCGCACAGTAGGAGGAGACGTAAGTAAGAGCCTGACTGCCCATTCCATAGCCTGAAGCTAGATGGGAGTTGACTGAGCCCAGCTGAAAAACGTATTGAAAAAACACCCAGATGGACAATATATCGAGTCAGCAAGAGAATGGATTTCTCAGCTCTGATAAGAAAGCCAGCCTTGGTGGCTCTTCTGAAAGGAG